GGTTTGTATCTCTTGTTCAGGAAATTGCAGGCGGGGGCTGTTGGAAAGCAATTTGCGGAAAATGTTTGCGTGCGGGTGATATTCACGGTGAGTGAAGCGCGAAGGAGAAGGAGCAGGAACTGATGAGCGGCCCGGAGTGGCTGAATACTGGAAGTGGCTATGAGGCATTCTCTTCTTTTTCAAGTTGGAATAAGGGTGTTGGGTTTTGTCTGATCTTTCTTCTCTCTTCCGCGTTCCTCCTTCTATGCACCGTGTTGCATTTAGCGCTTATCTGTAGGATGTCATACTCTCTTTACGATCCCTTTCATTGTTAGACAACGCTTGGCTTTTACCGCCTCTCGCACACCGACCTCACAACCTCCTGAGCATGGATTATTAGATGATGGCATACCCTCTCTCCTTGCTTCCCATTCCTAGTCTTAGTTTTCCCTCCGTCAGAGGGTTTCCCGCTGATGCTTACCGCGCCTTGAGTAGGCGATCAAGCTGTATTTCCTTGCGCCGGCTACCCACTGCATATCCTCCTAGTTAGCCGCCTTGAGCAATGAAACGGGATGGCGCTTCCGGATACCCCGCGGGAATCCGATAGGGGGGGGCAGAAATGGTATGAGTTGGAGTGAAACCTCAGTAGCTCCCATGAGCCTTGCGACACGCGCGCAGGAATGGGATGGGCGATTCGGTTCACCAAGTGCTGGGGCGGCAGCGAATATGTGCGACTTGGAGTATTGCGATGAGTTTTTGTGATACGTGGATAGAGCCTGAGGGCTCTCGAACATGGGATAGTAACGGGAAGGGTACGGGTGGATCTCTATGTGTTAGAGCAATGTTTGGTGCCCTTTGTGCCGTGAGAACTGGAACAAAAACTGACCACACGATAGGTAGGATGCCGTGAGATATCCTCAGTTTGAAGTTGTGGACGAGTGCTCATCCAGGAGAGCCTCTATTCCGAGACTATAAAGAAAAGATATCCTGCGACATAGCTTGGAGGGGGAGTTTCAATCACCCGTGACAAAATAAGCTCTTGAAAAATTCCACGGGTATGCACACGGCGTGAATTAGAAGGGTCTTGAAGATTGGAGGAAGTACTCTCATCGGTCCGTTCAGAATTTTCCCCCATTCACGCAATTGGACTCGTCGAGCCTATCGACAACCCTTTAACCCCCAATAGGACATTATTCCCTTTGACGGAGTCTCACATGGTTCTAGAAGGCTAGCTACAATATCTACCAAAATTAACCTTGCCCAAAAGCAGCCGGGAGAGCCGGAATAGGTAGGCAATCAAAGCGTGATTCTAGCCAAGTGGACAACCCCTCCCCCTCTACGGTATCGCTTCAAACATACACCCCCCCGACTCACCGGAGATGCGACACTACCACTGCCGTGCGGAACTAACCCCTGGAAATTTAATCATTCCAGCGGCAAAATATGCTGGGGGGTTCAGACACTTGGATTGGGGGGGAACACTATGGGGGACCAGATGGCCTGACATCTCTGAAGAACTTGGTTGAAGCCTTATTTCTTCCGTTATTCATGATGTGAATACAGCCTACGTGGGGCCGGAATTGGAGGAGTTGATCAATTGCCGCTTGCGGAATACCAGAAAGAAATTGGGTACGGTCCTGGTGTGGTGGGGGGAAAAAGAAGGGACAAACAAAGCCTCTATAAATACCCTGAAGTTTCACGGGAATGAAATTTACAAAAAAATACCGATCGCGTCTGCCAAGGGGGGCAGCGAAGCTACAGGAAGGCAAATTTGGCTTGTATATTGGGATATTGATGATGAGGTGCAAAGGTGGATTATGCCCGGCATCCTTGGCTACGGCACCTCTGCAATCGTAGACAATACATGCAATGTTAAGTAGTATTTTGTCATATCTGCAATGGTAAAGATGAATGGTAAGACACGGAGGCAAGCAGCAGGTCATCTGTGTGTAGGCGGCCTGACAGAATAACTTCTCAGGCAGCTGGGAACTGATGAACATGATATAGTACAGGTAGTATTTGCTTGTTTTGATGGGTTCATGGTACTATAGTGTGCGTAATGGTACCTGTTTGATGAATGAGCAATGGTACCTATAGTTTAACAGGTAATTTGGAAATAATTACACCATTCCTAATATTCTTTATTGAATAACATGGAATGGGGAAAAAAACTGAAATAGACCGAAATCATGCTGCTGCATAGCCATGTGACTACCCAACTTACGCAGTGGCAGACTCCCCACCAGCGGACTGACTCACACACCTGGGCCTGTGTGGAAAACATTAGAAATTAGATGGAATGGGCAATAGTAGTAGGGGAGACAAAGGGTAGAACTGTTTGTACCCAATCAGTTAGCCATTCCAGTCAATGGCAGGAGGCTCTGCTCTTAGTACTGGTAATTACCAGATTTAGCCTGGAGCTCAAGGCAGAAATAGATCTCTGTATTATAAGATGTTCTATTCGTTTGTAGATGAGCCAACTTGGCCTGGGTATGGCGCTCGTGTGGGGGGGGGGAGAAAGCACAGAGGCATGTGCCGCATATGGTTCCAGGGGTTGTAGGAAAACTGATCGGATAATAAGCTAGCATGGTTGGCCACTGGTGAGGTATTGGTGAATTTTGCATGTTTGATAAGGTTCTAGTTGATAGTATTATAATTCCTGTAGTAGAATGTTATGGTGTTCAGAGTGCTGATACTGAAGAGCAGAGGAAGATAGATGTGTTCAAAGACAAGCATGGCAAATGTATCAGTGGAGGTATACTGGAGAAAGAAATTACAGTTTGGGTGTGCAGCTGAGTATAAGCTTTTTATCCTCTTGGTGTTTCTTTCACCTAGGTATTAGAAAGCTAGCCATGTTGGATAGAGAAACAACAGATCTGTCTCTACCTCCAATACCATTGACAAACTGGAGATGACCACCACCATGACCACTAGCCAGCAGAACTGTCTGGGAAGCCAGTCCCAGCTGCTTACTTGATAGGGTTGGGGTTGAATAGTGATAATTATTTGCGGGATTTCTTTTCTCGCAGAGTGATTTTCTAACCCTTGTACATTTGGAGGAGTAATTCACCTATATTGATTGATTAGGATTGAGTACAAGTTAGTGTGTATCTCCTGTACTTAAGCTCAAAGCCTAGAAACTCTTCCCCCTACTCTCAAAACAAATTCTCAAATATTCCCAGCATCACCTATTCAATATTATAACGTGTTCGCACCGGGGTACTAATCACGCTTCTGGGTACAATAGGAGTAGCGCACAAGTTGATCTACAACCTATGGGCATACTGCGCTAAGGGAGGCTTCGAGAGGAAAATATAAAGAATAGGGACTTAAAGAGGTAACCGTTCAACCAAATATATTAGAAATACTCTGTCCATCGAAGTCTGCTGTTCTTCTAAGGGAATCAGTGGTCTTTAAAATCAAGATTTCGTCCATGGCCTGCATGGGTGAGTTTCCCCAATATCCTTTACCCAAACCACAAATAAAACAAACTAAGTATCAAAGGATACTTGAAACTACAAGTAAAACAAACTGAGTATCAAAGGATACTCGAAACCACAAGTAAAACAAACTGAGTATCAAAGGATACTCGAAACCACAAGTAAAACAAAACTGAGTATCAAAGGATACTCGAAACCACAAGTAAAACAAACAGAGTATTAAAGGATACTCGAAACTATAAGTAAAACAAACTGAGTATCATAGGATACTTGAAACCACAAGTAAAACAAACTGAGTATCATAGGATACTCGAAACCACAAGTAAAACAAAACATAAAACAAATCCTTGAACCGAACAGACTGAACTCCAGTTCCAGTTAGAAATATTCTTCCAAATTCCTTTCCATCGTCCCAAGGTCACCAGGGGTTGATAGAAGATCTACAAAGATCACTACTCTTCAATTATCTCCTCATTACAAAACATCAAAGTTCTGGTTCATTAGTACAAATATGTTTCTCCTTCACTTGTTAAAAGAGTCTCTGACTTGGTAATTTCAGTTAGAGATCAATTCTGGAATGGCCATTGAGATAGGTTGTTCCTTGATAATGCTCAGTAATTACTGTATCAACTGACATGTAGTGAGTCTCAAGATCCTCCCAACATACACCATGAAATGCTATGCCAGCCCCCCCATACCATTCTGACTACCACAATTACAACTGTTGTGCCTAATATCAGTAACTCTTCAACTGGGATATCTCCCAACTACCTACATCTCAAAAGCTGAATTGGACTGGTCGGAGGAGAAGCAGCCCCTCATATATAGGACACCAGCATCAAACCATTATATGCATGCCCATGTGAAGACCTTCTTGAATACAAGTTCAGCTAATTTTAACGTAGGATTTAGAATTCTATTGAGGTGGGGAGGAATATGTAGATCGAGGACATTATTGAAAAGAGAAGTAAGAGAGGGGAATAAAAGAGTTTTAGAAGATAAGTGTTTCAGATTGTAGAGGTGTATTGGGTAGGTATTAGGCAAGGTAATAGCTCCTGTTCTAATTTTTTTATCTAATATACCATGTGATCCTGGTGAGAGTGGGAAATATTATTCACTTAGTACAAGGTGACAGCTAGAATACAAACATCAGGCCTGCTTCTACTGTTCCTAACATTACTGGTAAATCGAGTATGTGCACACCTTAGGCTGTACCATAATGTAGTAATAGGACTGGGTAACTCTTATGGAGAAAGGCATAGTCATATTGGCAGGAGTAACTTGGTGGAGTAGTTTTTAGTCTAAGTCTGACTACTTAAAGATTATGAGAGAACTTGCCTACCCTGACCCAATAAACATCCTCTTGAGAGACTTAATATTGAGATAAGCTTAGGCTTAATGATATTAACTTGAACTTTTACTATTACTTGAATTCTTTACATTTTGCAAGCACTAAAACGTGTTCATACCGAGGTGTTATTCACGCTACTGTGTACAATAGGAGTAGGGTGTTCTCTGCCGGAGAGTAACAGCTCTAGGCTTGCTAAGGGAGGCCTCAGTGGTGTATAAGGAGAATGAAGATAACCATTCAACTAAGTATATTAAAAATACCATCTGTTGAAGTCTGCCGTTTCCAGAGTGGAAAATGGCAGTCTTTTTAAGTACATGTGTTTGAGTATTATCATGAATTCTCACTCACGTTCTTACTCAATCAAAGCATAAAAATAACCAAGTATCAACTAATACTTAAAACAAAACATAAAACAAACTAAGTATCAACCGATACTTAAAACAAAACATAAAACAAACTAAGTATCCAAGTACCAGCTCCGGTTACAAGTACTGTCTTCGAGCAATTTGAATTTTGATGTGGTCACATTCTTAAGATCCATCTTCCTCAGGGAGCTCTCTTTACAACAGGTAAACATAATAACTAATACCCACTATGGCTTTCCATGTGAAACCCCTAACTCCTATTTCAGTTAGGTGTGAAATCCAATAATAGATAGCTTAGAATCTTAAGACATCTGAAATCTACCTTACTTAGTTATAATTCATGACACATATGATCTATTGATTTGAAATCAGGTTCTTCAGATAGCTAGAAGGCTCTAGTAGGTTTCTATGAAAAGAAATTTATTTTCAAGATACATTACCCTCTCGTCGTAAAACAGCCTACAGAGGTCATTGGAGTTTGGAAAATATTTCCTAAGCTATTTAGAGTATGTTCTAGAACGCTATCTATCTGGCTATGCTAAAATAAAATTTTTGTTGTTGCAGGCCAATGTGTAGGTTCTAACACAGCCACACTCATCTGACAGCGTAGATTGACAATGATTGTTAACACTGCGCCTTTATCTGCACGTTTGGTATATACGACATAGTAAGATATCATAGTACGGTACTCTACTCTACTCGCAACCGTATTATTTATATGATGGGAGGATGATGAGTTGCTTTTTTTTTTTGACCGCACACTATGGTACTCACTCATAACCGTTATTATAATACTATACAGTACTGTGCACCCCGGGCAAAAACGAAAAACAAAAACAAAACAAAGGAAACGTAAAGTATCATACCTAGGTTTTTCCCATAATTTTGTGTCGTATGATACTACTGTACCGTATTGTGCTGTACCGGTTAGAAAGAAAGAAGGAAGGAAGGAAGGAAAAGGTTCCCCCGAAGCAAATACCCTTTCCTGGAAAACTCTGGCGGTGATTACGTTGGCCAATAGACAGCCGGACAGCCGGACAGACGTGGTATACGGACGGGTGTACTGTACATAGAGCACGAACCTTTTTCAATAATTTAGGTTTGCTGACAGTCCAGAATTCTGACGGATGGGTGGTCGGTGGGGCGGAGGGGGCGTGGATCCGACCTGGCCGGAGCTAGAGTACCAATGGTCTATGCATCGCAAATTTAGATACCCATAGTATTCTGCATGCCGTAGTTCGTCGCGGCTTGAATGCAACATCCCATACCGGTATCCACCATAATTTGTCGTAAGAACTGACCGTCTTGGCGTGTGTTTCGAGACCCCATCTCTCCCATTTACGGTGGGGGTTTTCGGTTTTCTATATGATGGAATCATTGTGGTTCCTGTATAGTAGTAACCTGGAAAAAAAGAAAAGAATCGACCATGTAAATCTCCGGGTTGGGCTCTCTCTCATTCCTTTGTTGCTATCATGTATAGGCGCTTGTGGAAGATTGGTGGTTTGCGCGGGAAACGGGGGGTGGCGCGTTTTGTCTGTGGATAGGCTCGCATCGAGTTACTGTGACTCTGTAATGTTTTCGTTTTTTCGGTGACTTGCTGGGTAACTTTGATGATAGACCTTTATTTTTTGTTTTTAGTGATCGTACTGTTGCTGCTGGTATTGTACGAGGATGGTGCTACAGGCGGCATATGCTATCATCATACAGTACCAACCCCCGAGCCGGCACTGGTTCGGGCGCAGGGTGGGATTGTGCAGTACCGTACCCAAGTACGAGGATGGATTGAAGGACGGATAGCGGTATGTGGATAGCATACCACGCATCGCAACTTGAGTACCAGTATTCTAGAAAATGGTTTGTAAAAGAAAAAAGGTCTACAGACACCCAGCTTATCCGTCATATGATGTAGAATTCTAATACCCTCGACAATGAGTACCGTGTGATACTTCCCCCCCTCCGCACCTGATGCAAAATCGTGCCATCATGCTTCGATACAAAAAGGATAAAAAAACGTAAGAAAAAAAAGAAATACCGAAAAATCCTATTCAATGCCGTGGTGAGCCTCTCGCCCCCTCCAAAAAATGAAATAAATCCATAAAAAAAACAAAGGAAAAAAAAAAGCAGACATCGGGGGCCAACAATTACAATGTGGATAACGAGGAGAGAGCTTCAATATTGGTTTTTCTTTCTTTTCCCTCTCCAGAAATTCAACAGTATAATCCATGTGCGCAAACTCGAACGAATTTGCTCTACACTCTTCCTGGTCGAGACCTGTTCCGTCCGTAAATCGGCCCGCCTCGCAACAGCTGCACTTTGGTGACGAGGGGCTATTCAAGTGTGGTATGTGTTGGTAACGATATCCCGGAACCTGTAACTGTTAGGCTTTGCTCCCAGAGCGATCCAAGCTCTTGCGCGGCAGCTGGATCCTACCAGTGAATCCTGTTCTTGTCCTCTATTAATCCAAGGGCGATGCTGCGGACAGGCGCATCACCCCATCGCTCGTAAAAGAATCCACCGGGACGGTCCAGGTGATCAAAGTAATCCCTGTACTTTTTGCTCCTCCAAAGGTTCATGTCCGCAATCTCGAAATTACTCCGGAAATGGCAGGTCCAGTACCGAGACTTTTGATGGTCTGGCCTGTTCTTGGAATCCGTCAGCCAGGCCATGGCGTATTTCGGGTGCAAGTAGTCCGGGTTCTCCGCCAGGAACTCGAGTGTATGTGGCCATAGAGTCTCAATGGATTCGGGAGGGTCGCAGATCTTGATGACGAAACCGTATGTTTGTTGTTGGGGTCCATGTACTTGAACACGTCGTAATCCACATCGCAGAAGAAGCTGTTTCACGTCTTCGCAACCGGGGCCGGAAGGGATTCGGTGCGGGAATAACATACTCCACTTTGGGCTCAACACGCCAGTACCGCCGGATATCCTTCAATGCAGGGTGATCGTGAAACCTTTCAGAGTTCCACCGGCACATTTGATGATAGCTCTTGAGTCGGGAGTAATGGACCTTCTTCTCTTCCAGCAGCTTGGCAGACTCTGCCATGAGATCGTTGTTGGTCCAGGAAGGGATTGCCCAATGGTCCTTTGAGATAACCTCTACGCCACACGATTGAACCCACCGTCAGCCTCTATAGGGGGAGAAGAGCAAAAGCAACGCCGTAGAGATAGGACGAAAGCTAACCGTATCTGCACTCGGCCTTGGTCTCCGCCTGTGTCCTCTCCCTAAACTCCTGGGAGAACTCCGCATGGTTGAAGAAGGTCCAGGGGTAATTGCATTTGTGATTGGAAGTTCTCTCCAGGTCCCTCATTGCGGGAACCATCCCCTCGGGTTCATTGTTTCTTACCAGCGATAGTAATGTCACCGATATTCTATCTTCCTCGCCGGGCCCCCACAGCTTTCATGGAAGTCCCTTCTCGGGGTTGAGTAAGGGGTCGACACCATTTAGGGAGCCACCGGTCTTTGGTTGGACGAATTGGCCTCCCTACCCGCCAACATGTGGGCGAGGAATTGGCGGAGATGAATAGCTGTAGAACACGAGTACCAGCGCTGTGAGGGCCGCCAGCGAGATGAGAGCTCTCAGAATACCCTTTGTCACCACATTTCCGCGGCTGGGGGGATGCGGAGTGGGGTGGGGTGTTTGTTTGGAGGAAGGGCAAGTGTGGTGGTAAGTCATGGGTGGGGAGGCAGGGTTCGCAGTAAAAGCTTAAGAGGGCCCGATTTAGGAATGGGCTGTGGAGCACTGTTGGGGAGGCTGTAGGTGGGAGCGCAATGGGGGGGTTCACCGTCAACCTGCGTGAAAGGTTCTCACAGCAAGAATGGACGCCAAACGAGATGTAATTACTCGGACTCACTTCTGTCTTGGAAGAACCGGAAAAGTGTGGCGAGTGAAGAAAAGGGGCCCCCGAGAAGTAAGTGCTCGAGCAAGAGTACTGTATTGTACAGTAGGAGTGCTGGCGTAACCGGTGAACCGTGTCTATCGTTGAGATACCGTACTGCAATGGAGTGTCCGCCAACATGACACTCTTTTCGTTTTTTTTTCCTGCGCTTTTCTCAACGCTTGGTAGGCTGTACGAGACACCGCACTCGAGTACTGTATTCGCATTCGTCCCTTCAACAATAACCCCCCCCCCCGCTGCGGCACACTGAGTATGGTGCGGGTGTGACTAAGGCGAGGAGGTAGGAAAGGGGAAAAAAAGGGCGCTGGCAAGGGAATATATTCCAGGCTCCCCTAAAATCACCCCTTCAAGCATTGGGACAGTTGTTTCCGGGAAGTTCTGCTGATTCTTGGATACGCTAGTCTAGCAGTCGTGTTCACAAATATCACGTGTTCACAAACGTCCCGCGCTTCCGTGCACCGCATGCCCTTCCGAGCACTGCATGAACACCTGGGAGATATAAAAAAAGGCCTGTCACACCCCCCTCGCCTTTCTGTCCTCCAAACCCTTTTCGCACAAACAAACACCGTCTCTGTACCATGCTGGGCATCAAACTCCCTCTGGTTGGCCCAATACAGTACATACTTAGCCACCCAGCAGACAGAATTATTTCTAGCTTCTGGTGAGAATTTAACAGGTTTTTTTCCTTGGTTGGAAATTAATGTGGATTGACCATAGCTACAGAAAAAAAGAAAACACGGTTGCCCTCATGGTACTTTCTGTGAAGAATATGGGACAAGTGTGTCAATGTCAGTATATCCACGTCTGTTCAAGAGCAACAGAGAGAGTGATAAAAAAACAAGTAGGGGTTGATATTGTCTGACAAGGAAAGGAATGAATAGGTCTGATGGAAACCTCATAGGAAAACAATAGCAACATACAGAGTCTTTTATAGAGAGTGGGAGAGAAAACAAGGAGAAAGGAATGCAAAGAATAACACAGTAAGAAGTAAGATATCAATCACAATCCTGACCCTTTGAACAAGTTAGAAAGAGATCAAGTATCACAACTACTATCTAACACTAGACTGTTGTAGTCCCTAAACTATATGTCAGATCACCATTGACCATGGCCTCTACTATCCACTTTCAGCTGGTATGCTAGATCTCCAAACACTAATAGTTTCTGGTGACAACACTGAAATAGTAGGTCTAGCCCTAGTCTGTTTCAACACTTTCAAGGAATGGGTTAGAGTTTGACAGACCTATATTTATACTAAAAGTACTTAAAGAAGTTGGCTCCCTTCTCTTTTATTTATTTGTACTCATTAGAATGCTAACCAATTGGAGGACTTTCTTCTACTCTCTCATCAATAGTATTGTTATCATCAGGCTATTCTGCTACTTCAAAAAGGCCTCACCTTTCTATTTTTCTCAAAATAGTATGTCTATTTGCCTTTTCCTATTTTTCTTAGAAGTATACTGATCTTGTCTTTGTTATTTTTTTCTTTCCAGGTATTATATCAGTGACAAATGACATTATCTCTGCCTCCTGCACTTGTACTACCTTGCAGAACTTTACCATAAGAGCAAGATATACTTCCTATATGTAAGCTGTCTTACTGTATACTTACATGATCACTTGCTTCTTCCTCCTTCTAACTATAGTTTTTTTTTTTTTACTGCTTTCTTATGGACAGTATTATCATCCCTCCCTACTAATTGTCATAACGTAGATAAGGAGCTCATCACTGCCTGCTTAGCTATCCTGGACCAGATCAGGAACCAGTCTCACTTCTCCTACCTCGATACACTTATCTTTCCAACTGCCCTCTGTGTTGACATGTTCTTACTTGCAAATGAGGGCCAGAGAATCATAATAGCTAACAATATTGGCAAGATAGTCCATCTTGCCAACAAGTATCCTAGTAGCTGTTGGGATTTCTTTAGCAGTAGTACTCCCTGTACCTACAAGTCTGGTCTAAGCTGGTATGTCCCAGAAGACCCTGAGGCTCAAGGTATTGATTGTGAGGCTTGCCCAGTTCACTGTCATCTTATTATGCCTACTTGGCTCTTGATGGGACAGTGTATCTATAATGGCCTTAACTCTATAGCTGTGGAATAAACATCAATCAATCCTGTCACCAATATTGAAGTAGGAGATACATCACCATCCTGGTTACTGATTCTTTCTATGTATAGGAAACCTGACTCTGTCATCTGTGATTGCACTATCACAACTGCATTTATGGTCTAGAAGATCCTTACTGAAGCTGGCTTCCCAGCCATTGAGGTGGTCTTTATCGAGTCTATAGTTACTTGTTCTATTGCTGGTAGCCCCAAACTCCTCTTATTTAATTTCTTACATGACCCAGTACCTGACATGCTAAAGCCCTTGGTAGCTACTCTTAGTCTCTCTATTGCACCCCTTAAGTACTCCAACTTTGAGGGTACAGCTGCTCTGTACTTCTGTCTTGGGAAAGATACCAACTGTGTCTCTCTTTTAACCTGCATATATGTCATTCATCTTCCTCCTATCTATTCTAATACACAAATGACTGATAAGAATACGAGTCAGCCATGTGAGGAAATTGTTGTGCTTGATAATATGGGCTACAGGAATGCTATCATGGCTATGATGGTAACTATTGGTAACCATCTGAAATCTATTGAAATCTGGAACACCACACTTGACATGATAGGGGAGTCTGTTAGCATGGAGAACAGCAAGGTCACGGGAAGATGCAAGACGTAAATGGAGTTGGTAGCAGAGCTGAATGAGAAGATTCAGGAGGTGAATGCACTCCATGATAAGGTTACTAAGCATTGTACCACTACTAAGGACCATGTTACTTGCTTCATACAGAGAAGATTAAGGCCTTGGCTGAACAATACAGGTTTACCAATGACGGGGCTCTGATTAAGCTACATAATAAGAAGATTAATAGCTCAATATTTATGAGTAACAAGATTTATATTAGTATATCTTTTTACATACCTGTGTCTTTATTTTATCTCTATCTCTAGTGTTCTTTATTTCTTATTCCCCATCACATGTCTTGTCTTCAGTTTTAGTTGACTATGAGGATTGTTTCCTGGATTGGTGGTAAACTTTCCATATCAGAATTTTGAAATACTATGTTTCCACAGGTGGTTGATCAAGCTAACTCTTAGTACCCTGAAGATGGTCTTCTTTAGGACTATGGTGTCATCTCAGACAAGGAGATCCATGACCTCCAATGGCCTAACATCAACAATGAGAGATGCTTACTTGTTATACAGAATGAGTTAACTATGGGAACTACTGTTGGCTGTGGCAATGGTCTTGAGTCCTTTACCTGCACCTTTGATATGTGTGAAATCAAGCATACATCCCACAAGATTGTGGTCTTGTCTTATAACAAGAAACTTGGCAGGTTTCCAGCTGCTGGTGACTCGGGGTCCATCCTTCTTGGAAGGTATAGTTGCATTGTTGGACTCCTTTCTGATCACTCTGGCCTTTCTGAAGAGACTGATATCATGTACGTCATCCCACGCTAGTATATTGAGAAGGAGATCAAGGCCAAGTATCCTAGCTGCTATCTCTGCAATATTGTCTAGTAGGAGCTTGGAGATACTGGCAGTTATAAGTCACAGAAGTTTATAGTATAATGAGAAGGAGGGAAAGTACAGGTATTCTAGTTTAGTTTAGAAAAAGTGAAATAGAAAATATATGAAAAAATAAAAGGCAGGGGTACTTCCCAAATTAGGAAATATAAGTAATCTCTCCTGATTGGAATTGGTGTCTAGCAAAACTCAGATGTACTCGGTAGTTCCTCATCCACACTATATCATCATCCACAGGCTATTATTGAGCTTAAAAGCAAGTCCAGTATTGTCACGTTATATGTGATTTTGCCAGTTTGCTTCTACTACTACTTGTATTCATAGTTAGGGCAGGAATGAGCCAAACCTGGGGATGGGAGCTCCTCCTCCCAGCCAATCGGGTCCCTCTTTTCCCCAACCATCAACCGGCAAATACTGAATAGGGGGGGGGGGGAAGTAATAAGCCAGCCACAGCCAATTTCACTTTACTATTTCTGATACCAATGAGGTACAGTACGGAACTGATACGGTATGCTGCCTTCATCGTCGATTAATTGATTAATGGATTGATTAATTAATTATTTGGTTGCATTTGGAAGAGTAGCTTGATTCTTCGATTCGACTTCATGGTGATATGAGGGATTATATTACGGGAGGCTGTGGGAGGTTGGTAAGTACATGCTGTACTCGTAAGGTCGTGACATTTGTTAAACATGACTACTATTGCACAAGCGCAAAAAATCGCCCGGAGCCTCAAGATTCTGGCGGTATGCCATAGGGTATCGTTCAACTTTCTTGAAACCTGGTCCAACCAACTACGTACAACCCGGCAATGAAATAAATCTTCCAAAACAACAAATATCCGAGTAAAAAAAGCGTGAGAGTATCTTAAATGACGATATCAGTTGTCTCATGCTCTTATTTTTGAAATAAAAGATAAAAAAAGAGAAATTGAAAAAAGTGGTTGTATGAGGATGAAACATGTACTGAGGAGTTTAGTGCAGCAGACTGAGATAAACGCTAGGAAGGTGGGGCTCTTCAGATAGGCTGTCCAGCAATGATTGTCTTCGGGAATAGTGTGAGATTTCTTCCAATAGGAAAGAGGCTAAACAATGGTCTACTGTACTACAGGATTGAACTGATATACCATAATGGCCGATAATACACACTCTGGTGGTTCGGTCTCAGCATCGGCAACTCTGGTCACTTCGGCATGTGTTTCATCGTTGGTCCGCATTTTAGATCGGTTGCACTATAGTCTAATGGGACGGGCGGATGGGTGGGGTGGACGAGGGAATGAAACTGAAAACTGGATACCGGTATGTTCCCTCCCGCACATCACGACACAGCCCTTCGGCACCCTAACCGTACGGGCACCCTCACAACAACAACAACAGCGGCGGCAAGGCAATCCCGATACCATACAAGAAAATGCCGGTCTTGTACTGTACGCTACGCTGCGGCGATCATAATTGTGGTGATATCCGCATATGAATCGGGTTCCCGTCAGGAGGAAGCATTATCACACGGACGGCGGAGCATTGCCACAAGCTACCGTATCAACTCATCTATCGGCCGCTCTGCCCGCGGGTTTGATAGCCTCCGTTGAAAAAGGTGCAATGATCAAGTCATATACCGGAGGCAGATGAGAGCGAGAAGTCCACATTGATTATACAAAAGAGAATTCTACACCAGGTCCGGGGAAGCACCCACTATTCATGCTGTAAAGTAACAACATATATCAGCCGCAGAGAAGAAGAAAAAGGAAACAACATAGAAGGCAAGAGAAGTAAATGAGAACACCGTTTCATATCTGCAGGAGAGATCGAGTAATGGTGATATAAGGAAAACCCCAAGTGGGGTAAGTCGAACTCTGGGACTACCAGGGAGCCGACACTAAGGAAGATTGACCAGCGATGTCGTACTCTAAGACGTAGCAAGGACATATCTGAAAGGCCAATTTCAACAGCCTCGGCGTCCCCTCGAGCGAGTGACGTATGGTGAATTCCGCTGCGGGAGGGAATCCTATCGACTGTGAACGCACGTTCCTGGGTTGGTAGGGTTGGCGGTGCCGCGCCGCCTTTATTTATCTACAGGTACGAGTATCGTGGGCGTCTCCGCCGCATCGCAGTGACGTACGGTTACTGCTATCGTACCATGCTTGCATGAACCCTCCTGCCCGGGCCAAGTGAGGGAGCCTGTGGTACCCGTGCAGTACGAGGCTGGGGACGGAGATCCCCGGTGCTTCAGTGTACCCTAAGCGTACCCTACAGTACCGCACCAAAAGTGGCCGGCTTCGAATATGAAGTGGAAATCCCCCTAGGTCACCCAAAAATACGAGATGCCCGGTACAAGTACAGGCTCTAGAAGTACCGTATGTCAGCTCTCTCATACACAAAGGTGTAGCGCTGGCGGGAATAAATTGCTGTTTTAGTAGCTAGAATCGTCCGATCGTAGTTAGGAAAATAGTCATAAAACAAACATGGCTTCCCATTCAAAAAATTGCTGGGACCCGGTCTCACATCCATTCTTTGATCGATGGGCATCCCAAGAAATGGGAGGAGAAAGTCCAGGGAATTCCTCGGGATATGCAGTCAGAGCTGGGTGGGGGGCGGTGTCTGTAATGTTGTGAACATGGTTGCTTTGAGGGCGAAAGGTGCACTTATACAAGTGATTTTCGTCTCCAGCCTGTCTTTCTGCCACAACCTTACCACTCTCTTTCAAATTGGTGCTGCTTCTGCTGTACTCAGTACCGTGCTGGGGCTCAGTTTGCTATGGCGATTGGTAAATTTGTCCTTATTGTATCGCGGGGACGAATAAAGTGGGTTCGAATAAAGGTGAGTGGAAGGAGGGAGCAACAAGTGCGGAGCGGGAGCGAGTCCCATACAGATTCATCACAATTCCCCGATCTTCTTTTCCATTTTCTCTAAATTACAAATGTTGTTATAGCCCAACCCCAAGTGTCTCAGTGTGAAAGTCAGGAAACAGGGAAAGCGAAAAGATGGAACAAGCTTGAAAGGAAATGGGGATAAACTTACATGACCACCCCGTACTTTTCTTGGGGACGTTTGGCTTGAATGCGCGCCGATCGGGTCGCATCAAAACGTCGGTTGTCCTAATTTGACATCTGTTAGTTTCTATTGGGAAAGAATCAATTGGGGTGTTGATCGGGGAACATACCTTTTTTTTTTTCTTGCCGGGTCGGGGGAAGGGGTTTACAGGGGTTTAAACTTTTATTTCAGGCTCGGAAAGACCCCCCAGCGGGTATAGGAATAAGATTCTTATTTGCCTGTTCTGAGACGAGGCTTTTTTAAACAAACTCCTTAACCGACCTCATGGTTCACACTCCGAAGAAACGCGATGGCCAGTGAGGAGATCCGAGAGAGAAGCCCAATTCCGCTCAGTCCCAGCTGATAGCTGGAGTTCTCGTGGGGTAACAGGTCTGGTAGCCACCGTTGCCTGTACCAATTTCAGTGTCGGTTGTGCCGATGGTGCTGGGTAACAAGAGGAAGGTGTCCAAATGGATTACAGCCAGTAATTAGCCTTTTGGATTTTTCCAGTAAGGGCTGCTGGTTAGGTGTTACTACCGGTGTGGCAGCAAATAGGTTTTAGGGGTTTCCTGGTCATGTTTCAAGGGGGTTTGTGGCTCATCGAATTTTCTGTTTAGGATGAGACTCAGCAAGTGGAAAGTTTCACCTGGAGGCATGCCCTTGATTTCCTCAGAGAGTGAGGAGGGACGAAGGTACCAACCACCTATCTCTACAACCAACTGCACTACCTTCTTTTCTGTTGTTTCCAAGCTCTGTTTTTCCACCCTTTTAATATTTCTTCTTTGCTGTGCCTTACCGTCAAGTTTACCAGCAATAATTCCATCCTCGTATTCGATTCCAGATCGCGTTACTATGGTCAGCATTTCTGCAGCTCGGTCAATCACACCATCAAATTACGGAAGTCAACAGAGATACCGGTACTTCCACACCGGTGTTCCCCGTCTTTGATGCATAACCGGGATTTCTGGAATAAGGGTGTCCAGCATTTCGGTTCACAGGCGGTCCCGGGGTAGGGTGCCGGTAGGCTTATTGGCGATGGTACTGTAGAAGCCGGTAGGCGAGATTCGATGAAGTATCACAGGAGGATGCGAATGGCTGCGGCTAAGTAATTCAACTCTATTCCACCTGTTGCGTTTTGGCTACCATACTTTTATTGCAAATCACCGGTACTCTGGGTAATGGTCCTATCGCAATTACCTATCGGGATTGCGGGGTAGCGAAGAAGTGCCTCAAGTTACCATTGGTTTCGTGTTTGTAATGCTTATGGGTTTCATTTATCAGCAGGATGGAAGGTTCTCGGTTTTTCTCTGCAAAGGCCTGTACTGATGTACTAGTAAGTCTACTCGGGAGACAAGGAAATATGTAACATGTGGGAATATGGAAGAGTATGATTGGTTGACAAAAGAGGGGTAAAAAGGGAAGTTGAGAGATGTTCATGGAAACAGGAAGCGGGGTAAAAGAGGGGTTACCGGGAGTCTATTAGGAGGCTGCAAGGAATTTTCTCTCAATGTCAATGTATATAAGAGCAGATAGTTATCGGGAGAGGAAGCAGAAGAAGGACGGCGGACATTGACACAGAACCGAATACGAGACATTGAAACCGGTAAAGAACCAGGAGCTTTTTACTGCGCCGAACGAGACACTTTCGAGTACGATTCACGACAACTTTTCCACTGATTGGCTTCCTGACGGAAGTTATGTAGGAGTACGGGTATAGTATGTGGTTCAGTACAGTAAGCCTTTTAAGCGACCGTTATTAGCTGCTATCGTGCGCTGATTTGAACGAGAGAACTACCCTGTTTTTTTTTTAAAATTTTTCTCATAATACCACCAGACACTTGTGCTGCTTTAGCGGACAGGTTTTCAGCTGACCTTGCGGAATGGAGGATAATTCCTGGCATTCCA